AGTGTCGTGGGCCAGCCACACGTCAGGAAGTGAGAACATGCATCTGTACCTGGAATTACTGTTTTTTTGGCAGAAGGACAAACTTTGTTGGGCCCATCGGCCCCAATTCTGAAGCGAGTCCAGCGGGCAGCGGTGAGACCCACTTTGCTACCGGCAGAGGCATCTCTGCAGGGCCGGGTTTGCCAGCGTGCCAGTGGTTGCCACCTCTGAAGGGATGGTCCCTGGGGCTTGTGGCCACGTGCTGCACCACGGCCGGCAGCTCCTCATTGCCTCATAGGTAGCGGGCATAGTCTGCCGTCAGGATGGCTGGTCGGTTCAGCCGTCTCTGGCGCCCACACCGACCACAGCTCTGTTGGCTGAGATGATCCTCTTGGGGGGGGCAGCTTCACGTGAGTCTTCCTGGTCTCTGGGCTAGAGGAGGTGGCTATGGCTTAGTTCTCCAAGGCTCAGGCCAACTAGTTCAGTCCCAACGTGTCCTCCAGGCAGGGCTCGATGGTACAGGTGTGGTACCTGCAGGGAGGATGCTGCTGACGTCCAGCTGGGCCCTCTTGCCCATGCGGAGGCCCTTGGTGGTGATGGACAGCCCTGTCTGCTGCTTAAACTGGTGTGGATCCCGGAGACCATCTCAGCAGGGGATGTCCTTCAAGGTGCCCTTGACGTATCTGTGCTGCCCAGCTAAGTCCACAGCATGCAGGCGCTGGAGCCCTCGTGCTTGATGAGCACATGGAACACAGAGCCGGCGCCCTTCCTCTGTCCACGAATCCTGTGGCTCACGACTGCTCATGAGTGTAGCCTGAAGAGCTGTAGCTGGAATTTTATTGCCCTTGCTGTTTGCAGAAAATATGCCAGAGTGTCATGTATCCATTACGTAATAAGCTGTTTCAAAGCGGGAGTATGGTGAAGATGCCTGTGAATGCACAAGAAAAGGCAGGAACTGGCAATTTACGAAAGAGGAAATACGGTTCATAAACACTTGGCCAAAAATGACTTCATCTTACTAGTCATCAAAGAAGTGCAGATTAAAGCAGCATGATGGAGAGCACTGTGCACCGCCCCCGCCCCGCCCCGGGAAGGAACAGAGCCGACGGAGTGCCCTGGGCCGGGAAGCCCCTCTCAGCTGGCTGTCCTTCCTCTGAGGATCTGCCCCAGGAACCCAGCTGACACATGGCAGGCCGGTGCCCCAGGTCTCTGTCCTGGTAGTGTCTAGGAGGCAGAGACTCGAGGGCCACCAGATGCCCCACCCCAGGAGGGGGCATTCAGTGCACGGGGCACTCAAGAGCGAAGGCTGCAAGGACAGAGCCCCAGGGAGCACAGAGCCCCATGAGGAGGCCTGCAGTGGGCGGCAGCGCAGCTGGGAAAGCTCTGAGCACGGCACGCAGGGCGACAGGCACCGGTGCAGGCGGCCCTCTTTCCCCAAATTGCCCGAGAGGTGCGCCTTTATCCTGGCGTAGGAGGGAATTGGTTGGGAGCTGACTGGGCACAGCTGCCAGCCTCCTGCTGCTCACACCATTTGGACCCCCCTGGGTACCCACCTCAGCATGAGTCGTCCACCCTCCTGCAGGGCTCCAGGCCTGAGCCACTGCGGCCGAGGACACCCGACTGGCTGCCCAGCACAGCAGGGAGACCTGGCCCTGCTCTGAGTATAAAGGAACAGCATTCCAGGGTCTACCCTGGCCACTGCCCAGTCCTTTGCTCAGCAGGGCCCATGGTGGGGCTCAGGGCCTGCTGTCCTGCCATCAAGGCTGGCCACAGCTGGGGACGTGGCCCCACCGAAGTGAAGCCGGCCTCTTCCCTGCACCCACTTCCCAGCCAGGTCCCACCGGCCCAGCTTCCAAACCCACTGTGTCCTCGGCCGCCCTCCTCAGGGCCAAGTGTGACGCCTGCCGCAGGCCATTGTTCATTCCCAAAAGGGCGTGTCTGTGCCACACAGCCCACCCCCTGCTGGCCATCCAGCCTGTCCCGCTGTCACTTGCCTTTTTTTTTTTTTTTTTTTTTTTTTTTGAGACGGAGTTTCGCTCTTGTTACCCAGGCTGGAGTGCAATGGCGCGATCTCGGCTCACCGCAGCCTCCGCCTCCTGGGTTCAGGCAATTCTCCTGCCTCAGCCTCCTGAGTAGCTGGGATTACAGGCACGCATCACCATGCCCAGCTAATTTTTTGTATTTTTAGTAGAGACGGGGTTTCACCATGTTGACCAGGATGGTCTCGATCTCTTGACCTTGTGATCCACCCGCCTCGGCCTCCCAAAGTGCTGGGATTACAGGCTGAGCCACCGCGCCCGGCCTGTCACTTGCTTTTCACATTAGTGGCTCCCTCACATTTCCCACCAACTTCCCAGAGGCATCCACTCGGCATGTGCAGAAAAGTCCTGGCTTTGGATGGGCCGTGTGGTTCCATACCTCTGTTATCTCTTGTGACTACTTTTAAGTTTATCTTTATTTCCTTTGGGGCCTGGGGCCAGGGCGTGGTCAGCACCTGCCAGGTCTGTAGTTACCATAGTTACCATGAGGAACATGATGAGTGCTCTTGGCTTCCCAGGGCCAGCCAGGCAAGCATGCACAGGGGAGTATGGGTCCAGCGGCGGATGTTTTGTTCCCGCATGGAGCCACACCAGGAAGTGCTGGGCCTGGTGGGCTGGACACCCGGCTGGGGAGGGACCAGAGAGCTAAGCGTGAGCCCCCTGCCTGCAGGGACTTCAGCCCCTCCTTCGTGCTCCAGCCCTGCCCATGGGCCCCCGCTCCTTCCTCTGATGTAGGCTGGCACCCCTTGTGTCTGGGCCGATCCCCAACCGGTGCCAGCCCGCCCGGCACCCAGTTCCTGCGACCCAGCAGAGCATGGAGGCTGGAGCCGGCCTCCCACGAACCGGCTTAGCCAAGTTTGTATGTTTTGACTCCCGCCCCGGGACGGCAGCTGGAGACTTAAGGGTTCCCTTTCACGGGGCCTTCAGCTTCCAGATGCTTAGGTGGGCGCCACCCGCATACCGGCCAGCAGCTGGTTTGTCCCAGCCGCAATGAGCAGGGGAGCTAGGCCTTTGACGCCAAATGGCCTTTGCCGTCGAGGGATCATCCTGAGCCTCTGGGAGCTGAGAGCAGCTGGGTTGGGAGGGAAAAGCTGCCGGGGCTGCCCGCCGGCCCCGCAAAACCACACCTGTCTGCGTTCGGGGAGAAAGGGACCTCTCTGCTGGCCACTCGGCTGTGACGAGGCCCACGTGCTGCCCTTCCCCTGGTCCCTGGGCTGTGTAGAGACTGGCAGGGAGCCGCTGTGCTGATACCCTCTGGACTGGCCATCCCCTGCCCCTATTGGCCTTTGCACCCAAGAGCAGATCAGCTGAGCCAGCTGGCCCCCAGGATGGGCATGGTGTAGTTTGCATGTCGCCCCTTAGCGCAGCTCCCCTTGCCCTGAGGTCTCTAGGCTGGGCCTGTGTGCCAGGCATGAGGGGCTGCAGCACGGAGCAGGGGGTAGACCTGGCTGCCACCTCTGCTCACTCGGCCCTCTACTAGCCGGTTGCGGGGCTTGCTTTCCCCTAATGGGGAGTGACCTTCAGACCCTACCTGGGCAGAGGACCGGACCCCAGGACCTGAGCATTGACTGGCGTATAGTCCAAGGTGCGGCCAGCTCCTCTTCAGCCTGTCGAGACAGGGAGGAGGCCATCGGGAGCCAGCAGGTGTCCCTTGGAGGAGGCCTGAGAGCTGGTGGGTCTCACTGCCTGATGGTGTCAGGCTGCGGTGCTGCGGACAGAGCAGGGACGCCAAACAGGCCAGGCGCCAACAGCTCCCCACGAAGGGCTGGTTTCTCCAGATGAAGTTAATACCGGGGCCTTTGGCACTATGCTGGTGGCCCTGCAGCAGGGCCTGAGGCCTGGGCACGTGGAAAGTTCTGGGGTCCCGTGCTCAGCGCTCTGAGGTCAGGAAGCCCCAGCATGGGCAAGTGCCTCTTCCTTTCCCACGTGCCAGGATCCAGTCTGAGGCCGACCCCAGTTTCCTCAGGTGGCATTCCCTCCGTCCCTCCTGGGCTGGCTGTCCTCTGACCAGTGCCTGTCTCAGACCTGCCTGCCATCTCCTGCAGAGGCCAGGAGCCCCTCTGTGCCACTGGCGCTTCATGTTTGACCAGTTCTAAATGGACATTCTTTTTTTTGAGGCAGAGTCTCACTCTGTTGCCCAGGCTGGACTGCAGTGGTGCGATCTCAGCTCACTGCAACTTCCACCTCCCGGGTTCAAGTGATTCTCATGCCTCAGGCTCCCAAGTAGCTGGGGCTACAGGTAACCACTACCACTCCCAGCTAATTTTTGTATTCTTAGTAGAGGCGGGGTTTCTTTCTTTCTTTTTGAGACAGATGAGTCTTTCTCTGTCTTCTAGGCTGGAGTGCAATGGCACAATCTCAGCTCACTGCAACCTCCACCATCTGGGTTCAAGCAGTTCTCCTGCCTCGGCCTCCTTAGTAGCTGGGACTACAGGCACGTGCCACCATGCCAGGCTAATTTTTGTATTTTTGGTAGAGACAGAGTTTCACCATGTTGGCCAGGATAGTCTCGATCTCTTGACCTCATGAGCCACCTGCCTCGGCCTCCCTAAGTGTTGGGGTTACAGGCGTGAGCTACCCTGCTTGGCTGTGGTTTCTTTCTTTCTTTCTTTCTTTTTTTTTTTTTTGAGAGAGGTTTGTTCTTGTCACCCAGGCTGGAGCGCAGTGGCACAATCTCGGCTCACTGCAACGTCCGCCTCCTGGATTCAAGCAATTTAGCCTACTGAGTAGCTGGGACTAATAGGCATGTATCACTATACCCGTATTTTTAGTAGAGATGGAGTTTCACCATGTTGGCCAGGCTGGTCTCAAACTCCTGACCTCAGGTGATCCGCCCGCCTTGTCCTCCCACAGTGCTGGGATTACAGGTGTAAGCCACCGCTCCAGGTCTCTAAGCGGACATTCTGAGAAATAGTTTAAATAAAGGGCTTTAGGTCAAAGCCACTGTAGATGACCTTCCAGTCCCCTCCCTGTTTTCTTCAGGTCGAGTTCCAGACACCAGAAGTCTGAATTTGGAGAAGGCTGGGGTAGACACTAGTCCCAACACTCAGAAGATCCTGGTGGACTCCCGGGAAGCCACCTCTGTGCCCCATATCTATGCCATTGGCGACGTGGTGGAGGTATGGACTGGGACCAGGGCCCCTGCCCCCTGCCCGCCCGCCACCCCTGCTCGCTGGGCTCTGGCTGCTCCTGTCCCTTGGGAGAGGAACGATTTCTCTGATCACAGAGGCTCTGGGCCAAACCTCAGGCCAGCATGTATGGAGTTCTGGGGTGACCTGGACGTGGGCCTCGGCTCTCTGCCTTGCCTTTCATCTCTGTGGTGGGGTGTGGGTGACCTAAAGATAGCTGCAGGCACCAACAGCAGATGCCTGCTGGGAACCGGGTGTGGGTCAGCTCTGCACACCGGCCCTCTCCGCCTGCAGGTCGGCTGGAGGCATGGGCTTACAGATGCCACCGCTGGACGCGGCCTTGGGGCTGTCCTGTCCCCACGGGGTTGAGCAACAGGTCAAGTTCAAGCCAACCTAGCCCCGCCCTGTCCACCTCAGTACCCTCTGGCCTATCTCTCTGGGTGTCACGTAGCGGCGGGTCCTCTGCCGTCAGCCACTGCTGTGGAGTGGAGACCAGCACCAGCCTTTCCTTTTCTGGAGCCCCCTACCCACAGCCCCAGTACGGGACCGGGGTGGTCAGTCTCGGGAGGCTGTACCCTGGCAGGCTCAGGAGTGCCCGGCCTGTCCTGCATGTGTCCAGTGCCTGCTGCTGACGGTGGCTCTGGAGGGGCTCTGAGAGCTTCTTTGTGGTGAGAACTTTGGTGTCAGCATCGTGGGGCTGCAGTACCAACTCACTACACCCAGGTGGCCCAGAACAACAGACGTGGATTCTCTCATGTTTGGGGGCAGTAGTCCGATATCAAAGTGTCAGCTGGGGCTGGGGTGGGGGCTCACGCCTATAATCCCAGCACTTTGGGAGGCTGAGGCAGGCAGATTACTTGAGGTCAAGAGTTCAAGACCAGCCTAGCCAACATGATGAAACCCTGTCTCTACTAAAAAAAATTCAAAAGGTAGCCAGGCGTGGTGGCCCATGCCTGTAATCCTAGCTACCTGGGAGGCTGAGGCAGGAGAATCGTTTGAACCTGAGAGGAGGGAGGAGGAAGGTGGAGGTTACCATGAGCCAAGATTGTGCCACTGCACTCCAGCCTGGGCAACAAAGTGAGACTCCATCTCAAAAAAGAAAAGCTGTCATCCGGGCCAGGCTCCCTCAGATGCCTCTGGGGTAGGACGCCCCAGGCGTCCCTTGGTTGTGGCTGTGTCACTGCAATCTCTGCCTTATCGTCATGTGAGTCTCCCAAGTGTGCTTCTGGGCCCTAATTTGTCTCTCACAGGTTTCTCTGTCATTGGATTTAGGGTCTACCCTGATGCAGGATGACTTCCTCTCTCTCCTTACCTTAATTATATCTGCAGAGATCTTATTTCCAAATAAGATCACACTCTGAGGCTCCGGGCAGACCCTGCAGGGTCCTGTAGGGCCCATCTAGCCAGCCCAATTGCGTGCACAGAGCACGCAGCTCCGTGTGCCTCGACCACCCCGCAGCCGCAGCTGCTTAGCCGAGTGGTTCAGCTGCTTGGTGTGATTTCTGCAAGCTGAGCTTCCGCGTGGACCATGCAGGTGCAGTGGTCTCTGATCGCAGGGTCTGTTGCATCCTGTGGGCACTGCACCCTGAGACAGCACCGTGTGCATCTCTGCGCACAGCAGGAAGCCTCCCTTCTGTCTGGGAATCTGAGTTTTCCCTGTGTAAGTCTGTAGCTCCCAGGCCCCAGGGGCCCCCATGTCGGAAACTGTAACATTTCAAACTGTTTTGCCAGAAATGCATGGCACACACAAAGGCATTCTTTATTTAAAAATTAAATCTACTCTGTCAGAAGGTCATTGTGAGCAGTCCAAAGAGTTAACACCCAACCAGTGGTCCCTTGAGTGGCTGGGAAGAGCCTGTGGGCGGGGCGGGGGCTATTGTTTAATGAGATGATGTGTGCTGCCTGCCGCCGGGATGTTTCCGCCGTTAGTCAGGCCTGCTGGAATGTGGAGGCTGCACTCTGAGTTTATCTCCACGGATCTCTGTGCATTTCTGGAATGCCAAACAACATCTACATTTCCTGCTGCCAAGGTGATTGGCAGCCTATCCCGGAGGATGGCGCTGGAACCCCCAAGGCCGGGCACACCCTAGGACGAGGGATCTCCATAACAGCAGCATTCTGATTTGGGATTCGTTATGGACCGTGAAACACACGTTGAGCTTCATGTCAGGAGCACGTGGAACGCTTTGGGGTCCTGTTTTAGCCGGGATTCCAGTGAATGCAAACAGTAGCAGGGGCTCTTTTGAGCCTGGTGATGGGACCGGCCTCCGAGGTCAACGACGTGTAGAAGGGGTTTGGAGAGAAGGCTTGAGCGTGTGGGGTCAGCGTGGCCAGCCTCATCAACAGCAGGACTCCTCTCCCAGGGCAGCAAACAGGAGAACGAGCAACCCACCAGGACCCTGGGATGTCCCGCAGGAGGACGAGCTCCAGGGGAAGGGCTTTACGTCACCACAGCTCAGTGCCAGTGTTTGGGGATTTTTCTAAAGGGAGATGCCCCACTTGGAGGGCAAAGGGTGGTGGCATGGGGGCTGCCCGTAACCCCAGACATGGTGCCGACATGGCCCCCTGTGCCTTTCCCTAGGGGCGGCCTGAGCTGACGCCCACAGCTGTCATGGCTGGGAGGCTCCTGGCACAGCGGCTCTTTGGTGGGTCCTCAGCCCTGATGGACTACGACAAGGTGAGTTCTCTGGCGGGTCGCCTCTGCAGCCAGGAGAGGCTGAGTCTGAGGCTGGCTCTTCCGGGGTGAGCGGCCTTTGTGCGCCGTGTGTCTGCACGTAGGTGTGGCGCGTGTGTGGGTGCGCTTATGTGAGTGTGTGGTGCACACGTGTGTGTGTGTGAGGGCGCGTGTGGGCATCAGTCCTCAGTGTGACTCAGGTGCGGGCGGGCGGGCTGCATGCTGTGCTCAGTAGCCTGCTCTGGGTGCGTCTGGGCCTGGCCTGCAGTCACTGCTCTTAGTGTCACATGCAGTGGGGACCTTTGATTTTGGGGCCCTAGGGCCCTTCCTGACTCCAGACCTGCTTTCAGGTTCCCACGACCGTCTTCACCCCACTGGAGTACGGCTGCGTGGGGCTGTCTGAGGAAGAGGCAGTGGCTCGCCATGGGCAGGAGCGTGTTGAGGTGAGGCCTGGGAGCGGCGCAGCTGAGGACAGTGGTGACTCTGAGACCTCCCTCCACACCCTGGGCGGAGGCCTTGTGAGCAGGGCACCAGGGTATCTCCTCTCCAGGGGCCCTGAACAGTGGCCATCTGTTACGGGAAGGGACACATTGGGGGCAGCCTTGGAAGTGGGGGTGCCTGGGCTCTGGCAGCCTTGGGGTGACTGAGCTTAGGTGCCTCTGGTCTCAGTGATCCCTGCCACCACATGTCACAGCAGCAAGGGCAAGGCCCTTGGCTGCCTTGTTCTGAGGGTGAGGACAGACTCTGTGGCCCAGAAGCCCCCAGCCCCTCCCCTGTCATGCTGCAGGGGTGCCCAGCCGCAGCAGGGTCCCCACCTTGGTGCCACCTGCTCCCCTGCTGAGGTCAGCTAAGCGCCGGCCCCACCCCAGCACACAGCTGCTTGTCCCTGAAAGCACCAGGGCCCCGAAGGCGCCTCTGTGCTGTGCCTACCTTGCAGGGGCACGAATCTCACTCAACCCAGAAAGGCTTCTCTCAGGGGCCTCCGACCTCTGCCCCTGCCCTCAGCTCCCCCACCACCCTGTACCTCACCTTCCTGGGTACCCAGGGTTTCTCCCAGGCGAGAGTCCCCACCCCCAGCGTCCAGACACCCATCCTCTTCCAGCTTCTCCCAGGCTCCGGCAGTCACCCTGGAGGAAAGGGGTTTTCATCGAGCAAGGCTGCTTTTGGGGTCTGCTCTGGCAGGCAGCTGTGGCCCCGGGGGTGGCCTGGAGGGATGTGGGGGCTCTGAAGCCCGCCGGGCCCTGGGAGCCGGAAGCCTTCGGCACGGGTTTCATTTCGCTGCCAGGGCAGCTTGCAGGCGCCCAGGGAAACCGGAGCCTGCGGCCTGGGCAGTTGGGGACGAGTCACTGGGCTCCGAGCTGGCCCCTTCCCCTGCATCCCAGTCCTCTCCATCAACAGGACAGGCCTGACAGGCCAGCCTTCCCCGAGGCACTTTATTTGCTATTTTTGTTTGATTCATCACAAGTGCGCTGGGACATATGTTCCTGGCATTTTATAATGTTGTTTTATGTTTCACGATGTTGAATGGCCAAATACCCTTTGTTTGTTTTCTTTTCAATTCTGTCTTAGTTAGAACAATATTCTCTGAAGTTCCATTAATTAATAATGGCTGTGCAGCACATGTGAGGGCCCCGCTCATTTTTTACTTGGCCGCAGCCCCGGACACGCTGTCGAACCCTTCGAGGGTGCTGAAAGCCTTTGTCCGACAGCTCTGGCTCCGGTGTGGCCATAGCGGCCTTGCTCCAGTGCGGGCCGAGGGAGCACCAGGGTCCCCGAGGGAGCCGGGTGGCCGCCTGCTCACCCGTTCCTGCTTCCGCTGGGTATGCTGTGCCCAGCCTGGGTGCCTGGGTTGCCTGATGCCTGCTCTGCTACCGTGTTCTCTGAGGGTCCCAGGCCTGGGTGGGAGAGGGTCTGTCCGGCAGAGCATGGCTGCAGCCACCGGCTGCCCACACGTGAGATGGTCTGCACACGCCCCGTGGCCAGCCAAGCCAAGTCCTCATCCCAGACCAGACCTTCAGGCCAGATGGCTGGTTCCTGCCTGCCACGGCCTGGCCTTGCCCATGCAGCCTGTGGAAGCTGCAGGTGCCACGGGGCTTGTGTGTCCCAGCACTGACCCTGGGTTCCTATCCTGTCCCCAGGTCTATCACGCGCATTATAAACCACTGGAGTTCACAGTGCCTGGGCGGGATGCGTCCCAGTGTTACGTAAAGGTGAGCATCCCTGTGGCTCAGGGCTGGGTGCTGAGGGTGAGAGGGAGGGTGGGAAAGGTGAACACCTGAGGGCTGGCCCCACCCGTGCCCCGCAGGCAGGGTGCAGGGTGGACGAAGGGTGGACGCTTTTGACCCAGTCCCCTCCTGGGCTTTCAGATGGTGTGCCTGAGGGAGCCCCCGCAGCTAGTGCTGGGCCTGCACTTCCTCGGCCCCAACGCAGGCGAAGTTACTCAGGGATTTGCTGTGGGAATCAAGTAAGTCCCGAGGAATGCGGGTCTGATGCGCAGCGCAGCCGGGGTACCCAGGGATGCAGTGGAGAGCTGCTGACTCTTGCTGGGTTGATGTGGCCTTCACAGGTCTGCAGCAGGTGCCTCAGGCCTTCCTCAGACAGAGCAGGTTCGGGGGGCCGAGAGGCAGCTCTGCCCCAGCCAGATGCTGCTGAGCTAGAGCCGGGTGTCCGCTGCGGCCCCGGGTCGCTGCTGGGGCCCTTGCCCACCCAGCCAAGCACTCATGCTGCCAGGAGCAGGGTGCTGGCGCCTGGAGAGCCACCCCAGGGCTGCTGCGTGTCTTCTGGAGCTGGGGCCGTCGCCTGGGTCTTGGGCTCAGGCTGTTGTTTTTCGGGGTCCCAGGGTTGAAGGGAGCTGTGGCAAAGGCTCTGGGTGGGTTGACAGGGGCAGTTGGAGGTTGGGACACCGTTCATGGCCTGAGAGGGGCGGCTGGCTGGATGTGGGGCCTAGGGGTGGTGTGGTGAAGCCAGCATGAGCTGTCAGTGGGTAAAGCAGAGAGCAGAGGCCTAAGGCGGGACTGTGTCTGGGGGCAGGGGCTGGAACAGCAGGAAGCCAGGCCAGGGCAAGCCAGGGCGTGGCTCGATGGGAGGTGGGCTGGGTGAGCACTGGGTATCTCTGCTGGGAGGGAGGTGGACGGCTCCCACAGGTATGGGCAGGGGTCTCGGCTGCTGGCTGGGGGTCAGGGAACAGTGAGGAGACCAGCGGATTCTGAGGCCCTCCTCTCCCAGGGACAGGATGCTGTGGACCCCTGCCCCGTGCTGACGCCCGCCTGCCTCCCCCATCCCCTGTGTGCAGGTGTGGGGTCTCCTATGTACAGGTGATGCAGACCGTGGGCATCCATCCCACGTGCTCCGAGGAGGTGGTCAAGCTGCGCATCTCCAAGCGCTCAGGCCTGGACCCCACGGTGACAGGCTGCTGAGGGTAAGCGCCATCCCTGCAGGCCAGGGCACACGGTGCGCCACCACCAGCTCCTCGGAGGCCAGACCCAGGTAAGCAGGTGGGGCTGGTTCTGTGTGTGAGGACAGGGCATGTGGCAGGGGCCAGACCTCCCCGGGGGTCACCAGACCCCGGCCGGGCTGCAGCCGCTTCCCACATGCAGGAGGTGTTGAGAAACGGGGCTCATCCTTAGCGGCCCATCCCAGGTGGATGCTGGTGGGGAAGGTGTCCCAGGCGGGCTAAGGTCAGGCATCTCAAGTTGCTGCTCCACAGGGGGCTGCCATCGGGAAGCCGGCCTCCCCCACCCTGGCCTGGCTCCTGCAGAGCTCGGTGCCAGCTCGTTTCCCTGTTGCCCAGAAGGTGGAAATGCTGCCGGGTGACGGCAGCCCTGCCCGGCCCACCCCACACATCTGGTTCTGTTCCAGCGCTGCAGAGCCAGGCTGGCCGGGGGCATGTTGTTCATCGTGATCTCTTCCAAGGAGGAAGAAACTGGCGAGGGCTCCCGGTGTCCGTCCTGGGGACGTCCGTGCCGGAGCGGGGGCTCCCGGTGTCCACCCTGGGGACGCCCGTGCCGGAGCGGGGGCTCCCGGTGTCCACCCTGGGGACGCCCGTGCCGGAGCCCTTGTCTCTTGGTCCGACAGTGCCTCCTCCAGCCCGGGCTGCAGGGCAGGGGCCAGGGCGGGGTGGGCCCTCAGCCTGTGCCGTCCAGCCTACCTGGGGCACCCCCATGGCAGTCAGCCTCTGCCAGGGTTGGGGGTGTTTGGCACCCTCTCTTCCCTGGGGCTGAGGTAGAGACCAGGTAGCGCAGTGGGCTCCCCCAGGATGCCTGTGGGCAGGCTCCGGGGTCCATGTGGCTCTGAGGGGCTCTGGGGAGACCTCTCTGGGGGCCACTTGGGGACCCCTGCTTCACTGCCCCTCCCCCACAGAGTAGGGCCGCCCTTGATAGGGGTAAACAAAGGGCGTCCTGAGGAAAAAGTCTTATCAGAACGTTGCACCTCCCAGAGCTGTTTTGTTAGGAGCCTGCTATAAATTTTTATCATTTAAAAATATTTTTGTAGGACTGCATCAGTCCCTGTGACGCATCGGCCTGGGGCGGGGCCACTGCAGGGTGTTCCTCTCCCATCCCTCCCTTGGAGGTCCCTGGGTGTGGCAGCGGGAGACTCGGCCAGGCTGACGCGAGGGGTGGGTGGCTGCCCTGTGCTGACCCTCCTGTTGTCGCCAGGATGGCTGCAGGCCAGGCTTAGGGGGCCTCGCCCCTCTCCTGCAGCGCCTGTGAGGTGGTCGGCGTGGAGCACCAGCGCTGGACAGGTGGGCCATGTGCCCCGCAGGGATGGCTCTGGGCTGTCCACCTCATACCTGCACCTCTCTGCCTCTCCTGCCTGGCACCCCCCCCAGGCTCCTGGTGCCAGATGATGACGATCTGGGTGGAAACCCATCCTGTGGGCACCCACGTCCGAGCCCGCTGGCATTTCTGTAATGCAAATAAAGAGGGTGCCTTTTCTGAAGTGTGCCTTGCCTGTTGTGTCCCTGATGGGCTCCCAGGATGGCCCGGGCAGGTGGGGTCTGGCCAGGCCACCAGGCCTCTCTTCAACCATGAGTCGCTTCCACTAAGGGCAGCCCAGGTTCCGCTGGGGCCCCTCGAAGCCCTAAGCACCATTCCAAGCAGCCCTGGGCAGAAGGGGGCAGCCTTGCAGTGCTGGGGGCCCCACTGGGGCAGGAGGCAGAGCTGCCCCACCTGCCCCACCTGCCCCACAGCTGCCCCAGCTGCCCTACCTGCCCCACCTGCCCCACAGCTGCCCCACCTGCCCCACCTGCCCCACAGCTGCCCCACCTGCCCCAGCTGCCCCATCTGCCCCACAGCTGCCCCACCTGCCCCACAGCTGCCCCACAACTGCCCCAGCTGCCCCGCCTGCTCCACCTGCCCCACAATTGTCCCACCTGCCCCACAGCTGCCCCACCTGCCCCACACCTGCCCCGCCTGCCCCACAGCTGCCCCACCTGCCCCACACCTGCCCCAGCTGCCCCAGCTGCCCCACCTGCCCCATAGCTGCCCCAGCTGCCTCACCTGCCCCACAGCTGCCCCACCTGCCCCAGCTGCCCCACAACTGCCCCACCTGCCCCACACCTGCCCCACAGCTGCCCCACCTGCCCCAGCTGCCCCCCAGCTGCCCCACCTGCTCCACCTGCCCCACACCTGCCCCACCTGCCCCCCAGCTGCCTCACCTGCCCCAGCTGCCCCAGCTGCCCCACCTCCCCACCTGCCCCACCTGCCCCACACCTGCCCCACCTGCCCCCCAGCTGCCCCACCTACCCCAGCTGCCCCACCTGCCCCACAGCTGCCCCACCTGCCCCAGCTGCCCCACACCTGCCCCACCTGCCCCACAGCTGCCCCACCTGCCCCACCTGCCCCACAGCTGCCCCACCTGCCCCACCTGCCCCACAGCTGCCCCACCTGCCCCACAGCTGCCCCACCTGCCCCACAGCTGCCCCACCTGCCCCAGCTGCCCCACCTGCCCCACCTGCCCCACAGCTGCCTGGCCCACTGAGGGGTTTTCCCGGGACCCTCTGCCTGGGTCTCTGCACCTTGAAGCAAGAAGGGCAGCCCAGCACCAGGCGGGCTTTCAGGAGGGGGGGCACACGGGCTTTGTTGTGGAACAGCCCGCAGGCGGCGGCCCCACAACAAGAGGTGGCAGGGCTGTTGAGGCTGCCTGTCCCCGGATGTCAGTCACTTCACCGGGTTCCCACCGTGGCCCTCCAAGTCAGCTTGCTGGCTGTGTCAGGCTAATCCTGCGCATTGAGGCTTGATGGGTTCGGGAGCGCCTGTCAGTCACTGCCGAGAGAGCGCTGACAGCCACGGCCCGGGCCTGCATTGTGCTGGGGCTTTAGCGGTGGCTAATCGCGTGTCTTCCTTAAGAAAACATCACTTAGTCTGCCGGCCCGGAGCCCTGGATGGGACCCTGCTTGTCAGCGCACAGAGGAATGCCTTTGCGTCTTAATGGGCCTGCGGGAGCCCAGCTCACGGTGTGAAGCGTGCGCGTGAGCTCTCAGACACCCACTTAAGATGCCAAGTGCTGGGCCCGGCCCTCCCACAAGTGCAGCCCCAGATCAGCCGTGTCCCATTTAACGCATGGCTGGTGGCGTGCCCGGGCTGGATCCTGTGGGTGGGGCTCGCCTCTAGGCCTGCGAGTTTTTTGCCTTGGAGGCACCGCCAGGCCGGGAGGTCGGCTGACACCTGCTGCCTGGGCTCTGGGGGTGGCTCTGGGCAGCAGCTAGGCAGGGGACAGTGGGCCTGTGGATTCCTCAGTCCTGGGATCAGCCCCTGCAGGCGAGCACAGAAAACCTGCAGTGGCCTTGGTGCTTTTGTGGTGATGGAGAGGATGCAGCTGTGTGGAGCCCACTGTACACGCTGGGCCACACTCTCGACGGGAGTGCCTCTCGCCTCCCTGCCCGCCCAGCCCACCCGGAGTGCCTGTTGCTGGTGGCCTGAGCCACCCACACGTCCGTGTCCTCACGGGCCCCTCCAGGTGGTTTTCCCTGCGTGCGCCTTCCCAGAACGCACCATGCACCGCACACCTGCTGTCTGTGACCTCGCTCTCCCTCGCTGTGTGGCCCACTCAGCCGGCCTGCGCATCCCTTAGGAGGGGCAGAAACACCCACCACACACATCCCAGGCAGCGGGGGTCCTTGGGCAGTGGTCCCGCTCAGTTCACAAGCAATGGGTGCTTCAGGCAAAGAGCTGCCACGGAGCCCAGCACCGCTGCCCTGGGCCCTCTCAGGACCAGTGCTGAACTGGCAGGCACCTGGCTGCGGATCAGGCCCAGGGGACTTCACAGGCACTGGCCATTCCCACACCCCACTACTCTGGTGGGACACCGGCCTAGAGCCCCACCCAGGCTGCTGCACAGCCAGGGCAGGAACCAGGGCCTGGCAGGGCAGTGTGGGTGAAGTGGCCGCTCTCCCAGGCTCCCTTGCCCAGCTCGGGACCCATGTGCTGGGCCAGCGGTGGCTTTGATCTTGTGTTTCCCTGCGGACGGCCCGGGAGTGTGGGATGGAGCCAGAGCAGGGTGCTCGCCACCTGGCCCCGGGGCCACCTTCCTGCTGCCTTCACATGTTTTTATGGTGCAATGAAAATATGATTTTAATTCCTCAGATTGTTCTGTGTAACCTGCAATTACCCCCGGCGACGTCCTGCACGCTTCTGCTGTGGCACTGGATTTCACAAAGATGTGGGCGGGGGGGGGGGGCAGGAGTGGGCAGGGGTGCTGCCCAGCCGGGCCGAGTGGCCCCTCTCTGCCTCACCCTCCACTCTGACATGGGGCAGTCACCCTCTCCTGCTCCCGGCACCCCGAGTGACGTTGGGCAATTCCGCAGGCCCCCTGGGTGGTCCACATGCAGGGGTGGGGACACAGTTATGGAGGACTTCGAGAGCCAGAGCAGGGCAGCAGGGGAGGGCAGGGCCTGGCAGGGCTCTGAGGAGTAGGCAGGGGGTGTAGCAGGGGTCATCAGCTCAAGGGGAGGAGTTGACCGAGATGCTCAGACTGCAGTCGCCCTCTCTGAGTGTGCTGCAGCCTTGCTGGGCCCCAGCCTCACTTGGCAGCCATCGGGTGCCTCGGCCCTGCTCTCCTGGCCGTGAGGTGACCTTAGTGCCAGCTGGGCCCTCAGGCGGAGCTGCCCCTGTGAGAGCAGCGGCGTCGGGCGGGGCCTGTCTCCTGGCCTCAGGTTTGGCCTCCTCCCACGGGGTCTTGGCACATGAGCTCGCTCAGCTGACAGCTGCTCGCCTCACCTGACCCACGGCTACTCCAGGCCCAGTGCAGCAGCTCCAGGTGCTGCCAGTGCCTGGGCCCTGGCCCCCTCCCCAGGTTGGAGCAGGCCCCAGGGCAGGCCTGAGGCCCCCACCTACCCCTCACCCACTGGGCAAGAACTGGAGGTGATCAGGACCTTGCCTGAGGGATGCCCTGAGGTGGCTGGGCAGTGCGCTCATCAGGGCAGGACCGCGAGGCCACACTGATGAGGCTCCAGGTGCGTGGGCCACCTCGGGTTCAGGTTCCATCTAGTGGCATCACTGCCCCATGCTCACGTCTCTCCCCAAGAGAGCAGGTTGGCGCCTGGCTCCATTGGGCAGCATTTCGAGAGGTGTGTGGGTGTCTGCATTGGGCAGTGGGTGGGGACCACTTTCGCCTCCCAGAGCTCAGCTGCCCAAACCTCCCGGTCCTGGGCCCAGGCTGCTCCCCGACCCCGTGTCCCTCTGGGAGCCACTTCCCCTCCCCAGGGTCCCTGGGTGCCCCTGCCCTGGGCAAGAGCTCCTCCACCCAGCCTGATGAGACCTGCTGGCCTCCGCCCACCTGCCTGCCCTCACTTATTGCCACTTCCTGCCCTTGGGCCTGGTCAGGGTCCACAAGGGTCGGTGTGGGTCAGTCATTGCCAGACATGGGGATCCCCACCCTCTGGAACAGGAAGCAGCAGGGGTCTGCACCCGAAGCCAGTGGTTGAGCACCGGTGGCCAGGGCAGGTGGTGCAGCTCCTGCAGGTCTCAAGGCCTGGGCACAGGGTCCACGGAGGCAGAACATGTTCCTCCATGGGCCCAACCCCAGCCCTATCAGGAAGCATCTCCCTCTGAACTGCTTCTCCATCCAGATGGGCCTGGGCCAGGTCTTGCTCCTGGGTGGTACAGGAGGATGCCCTCTTCTGGCCCCAGATGCACAGGCTATGGGGGCCTTGGCCCAACTCACATCGGGTGGAGACTAGAATGGGCGTATCGTGGGGTGCTGTCCCTCTCTACAGCCCAGGTACACCCCACCTGGGACTGCTCCAGCAGGGCCTGGATGTGGTCCCGCAAGATGGCCTCTCCATGCCACCAGGGACCCCACAGCTCATTCACCCAGCACCCTGGCCTCTACCTTTGCCTGCTCGGCCAGGCTGGGGAGCCAGCTGCTGAGAGAGGTTTCCAGGCAGCAGCCCACACCCATCCTGGTAGGGCCACTGGCACGGAAGACCGCTCCCACGGGCCCCCAGGCTGAGTCCTTGGGCTAGCCTCCTTCCACCTCCCTGGCCTGCCCCTCCCCAGCCCTTCCAATGGAAGCCCAGAGCTCAACAGGGCCTGGCACAGGAGTGTCCTATACCCAGCCTGGTCTCTTTCCTCTGCCACTGTCTTCAAGCTGGGCTCTCTGTCCAGGTGCTGCGTGGCCCTGGGAGCTGCCTGAGGTCCTTTCTGTACCAGGCAGGGGCGTAAATAAACAGGTACATGGAAACGTCCAGGGAGTACAGGCAGGGAGTAACTGGCTCCATATTCCCCATGCCCCTCTGCGCCCGGGCTGGGGGGGCTCCCTGCTGTGCTCGGGGCTCCTGGGCTGTGCTCTTCCAGGCAGGGTGTGGTGCTCCAGTGCTGTGCAGATCTCAGCTCTGCTTTGCCCCTGCCCAGACCAGCATCCCAGCTCCGACGGGCCGGCGGCGGGGAGCCAAGCTGCGGGCGCTCCCTCAGATGGGCTAGGGAAGGAAGGAGCTCAGA